CCAACAATTAGACAGCTCCCTACATATCTAACTGAAATCTTTCTGCTTGGAAATTTAGCAAGGTGTCTCTTCTTCTTTCTGCCTACTGTGGGCATGAAAAGCAACTGACCATAATGTCCTTTTTTTAACAGTTATTTAGGTATCCAAAATACCTTTCCTCTTTTTTCTAGATAAAAGAAATCTTTATTTTTCATTTTTCTCTTCCAAATCCTTCTTTCCTTTCTGCAGGTCCCTCTCACACCCTAAGCATGGATGGGCATAACACTGCTCTGTCCCAAGCTAGGGACAGGGTCACACAAGCTTACAAACTCACACGGACTATGATCAAGGCCGAACGCATATCTGGAAAGCCCATGAGGCAGAGAGTAGTGGCACCATTTTCCACCCTGTTGCAGCATTAGGAAGTCCTGGGAGTCTACAGTCACTGAGGTAGCTGACTGTGTCAGAGCAAATGGCCCCATTCCCAGGGAGCACTAATGTGTGTGATGGTGTAAGGCTAAGAGCAGCCTGTCTGAGTTTGCAATCATGTCCACACTGATGGCTAGAGGAAGCAGAACAAATGCTGCTAATTGATTTTCAAGAGTTCAAAAGTCAAATGCTGATAATTACAGGAGCAGCAGCAGGCAAACATTTTATCTGCTGAGGGGAGTGAAGGTTGATAGGGGCAGAGGATTAGCACATGCAGCAGAGAAAATGAATATTTCAACATAAGTTTCCCATCTGTCCTCTAAGATGGCTTGTAGTGGCACCCTGACCAAACCCATCACCTGGGGCTCTGCTCGTCCAGATAGGAAGAGGAGTTAATGGAGCAATGGTTAATAGAGCAAGGAGTTAATGATAAGAGATGGAGGGAGCGTGCAAATCTAAGGGCTCTGTGGGATGGCACAAGAAGTTGGCATCATGAGCCTCACGGAAAGGTGCTCTGAATTCCCAGTGACACGCCTAAGAGAAGAGGCAGAGAAGCAGCAGCAAAAGGAGAGGCTGAGAACAACCTACTGATAGAAGTGATGCAAAACTAACTAGAAATTAAAGTAGAGAAAGAATCGCAGAGGGGGCCTCAGTGATCATAATTTATGTCATCCCCAGGTTTGCTGGGGGGAAGTAAGGAAGCAGATAGGAGGAGCTGGGAGCTAATGGGACAGGACTGTTGTGCACTGACTTAGTAGAGAAAGAGGATGTGAACAAGAGCTGGAGATAGCAACACTTGCTAGCTCTCATGAAGGGATCATGAACCCAGAAATAAGTCCTCATCATATGTGGGATTATAGGAGAGCAGAGGAGAAAGGCAACTAGCGAAGAAAAATCCTGGGTGAAAACTTCCCACACAAAACGTCACAACCCACTGACACAAAACCTAGTGCAGTACCAAGCCTCTGGCTCACCCTGTAAGACCTCTGGCCCCCTGCTCATCACTGCATTGAGGCATGGCCCTTCGCAGGGCATAAGGGTAGACCCCCTTCACCATCTCCATCTGCACACCTGCACCTCTATGATAAATGGGGCATCTAGGCACCCAAAGCACATCTAGGCTGCCTGGCCAGTGAAGCAACAAGCTTTGCTAACTAGCTGATTAAAAGTAGTGAGGGAAGGCATGCAACCTGCTGCCCCAAAGGAGCAGAGAACAGAGAAGTGAATAAAAGGCATCACATTTGCTTCTCATGAGGAAGCACGGTTAAAACAGCAGAAGAGTTCAGGTTACTGCCCCTTTGCAGAAAATGGTTTCTCTACTTGAGAAATTCTTTCATGATTGTCAGCCCTGGAAGATTTCAGCTTGTCGGAAGGACCTGTGAGGGATTTATCATCATCAGAGTCTGGGGTCAGCTGCAGCTCTTCTGGAAAAGGAATTCCTGTTCTGAAATAACTGGTGAGGTGTTGAGATATTTATTCCCAAATTGGGATGAAAAAATCAAAATCGCAAAAGATTTCACAGACCTGAAATCCTGAAACAACTCAATCACTGTCTGCATCTTTGCTGCTCAGAAAATGGAAGACTTCACGCCTGGTTTAAAACGTATCGTTATGTATCTGTATTCCAGGACACATATCTCTCTATTTGCCATCTTTCAAGAATCAATTGCACCAAGCTGTACAGAGCTGCAAATTGTGTTACTAAATCCAGAAGAGACTAATAAAAACAATGAGAACACTAGAAAACATGACCTACCAGGAGAGACTGAACAAATTCTTGTTTAATCTACAGCAGAGATTACTGGGAGACAACATGATAGAAGCCTTCAAACCCACATAGGGAAGATAAGAAGGGGGAGAAAATAAACAATTCTCTCTGTCCATTAGGGAGATGCCAAGTATTAATAGGCTTAAACTGAAGCCAGGGAAATCTAGGTTAGATGTCAGAAAAACCTAGCAGGCTAAGGAGAAAGAAGTCCTGGAAGAGATTGACTCAGGATTTCATGGGGTTTCTAGCACTGAAGGTCTTTCAGAACAGGTGACACAAACATCTGTCAGGAATAATTTAGTCTAGTTGAACCCTCCCTTGGGCACAGGGAAGTAGTAAATGACCTCTTGATGTTCCTTCTAGGCACAGCATCTGATTATGGATAAAAGTGTGCAGCAATGTAGGTAAAGACCGAGCTCTAGTGAATGCACACAACTGAACCAAATCAGTGTTTCCCATGCAGCCTTTCATCTGTTGACTCCTACTGCCTGAGTGTTTGCCTAAAAGTTGCCAGGACAAAGCATCTTCCTAATTTACATAAAATTAGTGAGAATTTGGACAATCTTACACTGTAAAGCAATGCACTTATAAAGGTATTGGGATTATGTGCTAATAATATATGAATAATTTCTGTCTTGTATTATGGCATTGCCTGGGAGCTGTTGTTAAGGGCCAGCACTCTGTTTTGCCTGACTCTCTGCAAACATGGAACAAAACTATGATCTTTGTCACAATCTCTTTTTTCACACTTATATTTTAATGTTTGCATTTCTGCTGGATGGAAAAAAAATTAGGAAAAAGAGCATGAGGTTCCAGGTATGAAAGGTTTTTGTCTGCGATCAGAACATGTTGGAGATGACTTCTGTGTTTTCTAGGAAGAACCTGCCAGCATAAAATTCAACCTGCTCAGAGCTGGATTAAAATAATGTGATCTTCTCACTGAGACACCCACTTCAAGATAAAGCATTTGTGTCCATTGTGCTTTTCTTATGACTATTACCATAGTTCATCATACCCTCATTTCAGTCCAGCCTCAACTTCTGCTAAATGAAGAATTGGTTTGGTGTAATGGATGCCAAGTAGTCCCCACAGATAGTAAGGCTCAGGCAGGGCCCAAGTCTAACCCCATCACTCCAGATCACCAGGATCCCTTCCATTAATTGTTTGGTTCATCTGAGAGACCAAGGATACACTCTCAGAGACTGAACAATCCCACTTACCACTCCTGGATGCCACCAGGCCCTCACTAAGGATGCAACAGGGTAATGCATGTGACAGGCAAGAAAAAACAGGACTGTATTTAGCTGTGCCTCCCCAGAGACTGAAAAGCATTCCAACAACAGATTCCCCATAGCCAGCCCTGCTAATAATAATCCCTAGCAGGATTCATGCTGCTACTGCCTTATTTTCCTGCTCTGACAATGGAGTATTTTCTCCTGAGAGAACAAATCTAGTGCCAGCTAGGAACAAATCCTCTTGGACTTTGCCTAGTAGGCTTTAGTGAAGTTGACTTATGGACAGAGCCTGACAAGAGGTCTCTGCAGCCTGAGCTTTCCACGCCTAACCCCTGTGCAGTATCCAGACAGTGTGGCTCCAACTATGTCCAAGAGTTGTCCACACACGCTGATGCCATGCCATACGTTTCCTCACACTCCTGCCCCACTGAGACCTCCTCTAACTCTGCCAGACCATACGCTCTCATCTGGTCCACATAGTGCCAAGACCACGAGGTAGACAGATCCTCCTGGAAGCCAGGCACAAGCTGGGGCCTTTCATTTTCTTCCCAAACTCCTGCAACTACTCGGAGACCTTAATGCCTGCTGGGCACTAATGGCTCTTCTGCCTCCTTCAAAAGTTGTTCCTCCAGCCCTCTTCTGAACACACTTCTCCTGACAGCTTTCTGTTTCATTCTCATTTCACCATTAATTTATTCCTTGCTTTCACCGTGCAGGCCACTTGAAACTCCATGCAGAGAACAAGCAGCCAAGGAGAGAAGCCTTTCTGTGCCTGGTGGGACAAAGGGGCATTTTTCTAGGCCGTATGCATGATCACATCCAGACCAAGTTCTGCTTCATATCTGTCAGTGTTCTGCTGAATTCTCAGTGCTTTTTCTCTGACTTCTCACCCCCATCACTTTTTTATATCTCATTTTCCTATCCTTCAAACTACCCCCTCTGCTTCAATTGAAACCCTTCAGGAGAGCTTGTTCTGAACCTGGACCACTGACATTTATGTGGGAGGTGAAACAAACCAAAACTTCACACTAACTCGGAAATCCGCACCATTTCTAAAATGGTGCTTTGGGTTACATGCAAAATATTCCAAAATATGCAAATTTGGATCTTTGAACAACTCGATATGATCTCATGTTCACGTCCTACTTAATGCACCATCCCATTGCGAATAACACTGGCCAGATATATCAAGCATAGTTAACACTGGCATATATTACTAAGTGTGGCTGTAGCTCAATCATAGCTGTTTAGTATACAGAACTTCACTGCCTCCAAGCCATACAGAGAAATATTTTCTGTCTCTGCCATTCAAGCTCATGGTACAGAGGAGGTCTCTCCTCTGAAAGGCTGGAAAAACGTTACAGAAAGGAAGCTGATGAATTTTTTATGCATGCTAATGGAAGGATGTAATGGCATCCTGCATGGAGATGACAGCAGCCTGGGTACTGGAGATACCAGTGGTCCAGGATGCAAGAAGCAGATTGCCAGCCCTTAATAAGAACTACAGAAGGGTGGAGGGGATTATTCGCCTGGAGCCTTCCTCCATCCTCTTCCCTGACACAGTTTGAGAATTACCAAACATTTCTTACCCTCTCCCACTTCCTCTCCTTGGTCAAAAGGATGATGACCAGCTTGGGATGCATCTGGTATCCGTCCTCACTGAACGACAAATTCCTGCCTTCAAAGGTGACATTGATCAGGTACCTGTAGGAAAGAGAAAAGAGAAAGGAGACCATTAATGCTTGGGAACCAAACTCAAAACAAGAGCCTGCCTCCCTCCTGCAACTTACATCAGGAGAGTAGGAGCACAGTGCAAACATTGGAAAACCTAAGAGGAAGGGAGTCAGAGAAACAGGACAATTACTCCAGGAATTGGGACAATCAGGCAAGGCAAGGCAATTGCCCCCATTTTGTGACTGTAATAGGGAAATGATGTGCTATGTTGGCTCTCAAGGAATTCCTGAAAGAACTCTAAGAGTTTCACTCACACACACATATGCACATGCCCATAGTCCCACCTCTTACCTCAAAGGGCAGAGGAATCCATAGCAATCAGCTGTGTAAACACACTCCACAGCCTACACTTTGCTCACTCTCCAAAGGAGACTTTGCAGGCCATTTGAGGACAGTGATGGCCTACAGGTGAAGCAGTGGAGACAGCCTCCCTCCAGCCCAATTATCAAGGTAATGATTAGGGAAGCTGTGGAGAGCAGAAAAAGGAGCAGCACACCTACAAGAAGCTCTATCCCTATCAGAGCCAGCACACCTCATGGGGCCCAAAGTGATCCTATGAAAAAGCTTAGGAATAGGGACAAGGATGTTGAGAGAGCCCAGTAAAAGTTCTTTTTCCTAGGGACAGAGTCATGCCTTACACCCAGTAAAATCAAATTAAAGGGTGATCAGCCCTGCAGCCAACATTAACGATTCTCTTTGTCTGGAAAGGCCCCTTCATTTCTGCACAAGGCACTCCCCTTTAGGGCATCTCATGTCAGCTGTACAAACGGACTATTAAACAGTCCAGGCTTCAATCTCATTTATCCTAAAGCCTCTTTATTGAGCTCTGGCAGTAGAGAAGACCTTTAGGTGGACTGAGATTACAGCTACACTGATTTCAAGGCCTTGCTGCATCATGAGAGCATGTTAAAGTGATGTTGCTGTAAATAAGAATTGGGGCTATTGTTTCCTTAACTGTCAGACCATCCAGAAAGACACTGTGGGGAAGAAGAGGAGGCAAATACACATTTCACAGTTCAGTGGTTTATATGACATCTCCGTGGCACTCTGACAGTTTCCCCTGTTCATATATTTCACTTCAATTCACAATCTTGTTGCACGAAGTAGATTCTACCTTTATAAACCTGCTCTGGCACCAGTAGCATCACATCACTGTGAGAGACAGAGGTGACCAAGCTGCCTGCAGGGCTAGCCCCAGGACTCTTCCCTCCCCTACTTCGCACAGTTCTATAAATTACACAAGCAACATTTCTATTACAGACGTGAGAGGTTCTTCTGCTCTATTACACCATGACATCGGGAAACATTTCCTAATATTCAGCTTCAATTTGTCCCTTCTGAACTCAATTTGAACCAATTTCAAGAAAATAAAAAAGGGGAGAAAAGTCTGATTTTTTCAGTCGGTTTCAATCTGCTCGCAGAGACCTCCCTGCTAATCTAATGAAAGCATTAGTATCAGGGAAACTTCTTCAAACAAATAAAAAAGCAGGTCATGATTTCCACTTCTTCCTTTTTCAAATGTTTTGTTCTAACTCCATTAATCAACCAAATTCATTCACTAATTCCCCAATGCCAAGTGCAATCAGCAATTATGTTTATTTCTAAAGGAAATTCCACACTTGCTCCATGTTGTGACCTTCAAGGGACGTGCGCAGCTTTGGAAACACAGCCATAAGGGAGCCCAGCATGAAAGATTTGTAACAGGATGATATTCAAAGGCAGACTACTGGTTATTTTCCAAAAACCAGAGCCATTCAGCACCCAAACACTGAGAGTACCCCGAAACATTTCCACGTGGAAAATCTGAGCCATGCAATTCTTTGTAATGGTGTAAAACATCCCATCTCAGCACTTCACATGCTCTTTTTCTGGCATTTCTTTCCCAGCTGCAAGCATTGCTCTGGTACTGAGGAATGTCACGCAGAGACCATCGCCAGGCATGTGCACCCTACAATACCTAGTTAGGGCTCCGGTGGTGGGAAGATTCTTCCAGTGGACCAAGATTACAACTACACTCACTTCATGACTTCTCTGCACTGGCCACCAGAGTAAAGACAAAGAAAGGCTCCAAGAAGATGAGGATGCCATTAGCCTGATGGGAGCTGTAGTTTTATAAGTCAGTGAGTAAGCAGTGCCAATACCTAATTAAACAAACACCAATATTAAACCGTTTTCAGCCCTCTTTCCCCTCACATCCAAGAACGATTCCATTATGGGAATCTCCTTTGCACAGCCTGACAAGAAGAGTTCACAGAAATCAGCAACAGATATGACACAAGAGGGTGTCATTTCTGTTCATTTTCCACCAGAAAGATTAGAATCACTAATAATAATCAAGGAGGGATCATCAACAACTCCAATCCTTGGAGCTATCTTGAGATTTACCTTTAAAGAAGCACTAAAATCCCTTGCTTTCCACCTTAATGACTGAAATTAGTCTACAAAATAACTCTTCAGAGGGTTTTCTCTAGAACTCATTAGCAATATGTTTACAAAAGTTTGCAGGGGGAGTGCAGGAGAAGTGGCTTTCCCTCATCTTTCCCTGTACACCTGCACCTTTTTGATCCTGCCACCCAACACAGGGATATAGGCAGAAAGCAGCACACAGGGATCTGCGGGGCTTGCTTGGGTGTCCTGAGCCTATGTGATAAAGCATCACGGCTTGAAGGACTCCCTGGCAGACCAAGTCAGCAACATGCTGCAAGGCAGCCACACTCGAGTGGCTCTGCCCTTCATCATTACTGCAGCAATAGTCATCCCCTTCAGCAGCACTGCTGCCCTCCTACACCAGCACTACTGCTGCCTGCTCTGGCCAGGGGAATTTGTTTCCTCCCTACAGCTTACACACACTTCAGTCCCTAAACAGGCAACCAGGGGGCTGAGAGACTCCGTGACATGTCTGAACTGAGCCACCAGCTGTAATAGGGGCACAGGGTGAGGGCAGCAGACTGTGCACGCAGGTGAGGCAAACCAGGATGAAACTGTGCCTGTAAAGGTCTTAATCCATGAGTCCCTGGATGTTTGGAATTCCAAGATGGAGAGACATAAAGACAAAGAGGGCACGGTGGGGGCAGACACAGGCAATTTAATTTAATTTCCTAGAAGCACCTTTCTGCAAAAGATTTTGCTTATGTGGGAATTTCTGGAGCTGCTTGGTGCAAGGACAGAAGGGCTGAGCCCTTCACCAGCCCAGTGGAGATGCAGCAGACACAATGCCCAAACCCAAACGTGTGGGAGCAAAACATACACTTAACATTCCACAACACTGTGGAAACAGGCTGACATTGTGAGCCCTGTGGTATAGACAAGCAGGCAGGAACAAAAAGAAGGGACATGCCCTTGGGCACAAAGAAAATCAAACTCAGGGGACCCCAGTCCCCATTCTGTGCTCTGAGGTAACATCACCCATCCTAGATGTAAGGCTGTCAGCCCTGCAAGTTAATGGAGAGTGTTTCGAAGTCTGGTTGGCATAGGAAATAGAGCATTAAAACCACATCAGATGGCCAATTTAGGACCAGCAGAGAGATGATGACATTTTAAATGGTTTCAGCCAGGGATGGAGAAAGCCTGAAGAGGCAAATGTGGCAGGCGCAGGGGGCTTGAGGGAACACAGAAAGGGTGCTAACAGAATTCTTCTCTGCCCTAGAGACAGATGTGAAGGAGATGCACTTGAAATTAGCTCTAACCACTCCTAATTCTGCCTTCAGTGCCTTGCAGGGAATCAGCTCCTCCTGAGCCTGCTGACTGGATGGGCAAATTTGGACATTGCATCGGTTCAGTCCGTCATACTCCCTGCCTCACACGTGTGCACCACACACACACACTCTCCCCTGTGTCCTGTCAGTGCTTGTTATGCTTCAATGAGACAAACAGGCTGTCTGAAATAGCGTGATTATCCTAACATCAACTGCTTCCCTGAATAAGGCAGACCATATAAGTAAAACAGCCTCTCCACAGTCAGCACTGGGGAGTAATCTCAGCAGCCCAGCACACAAGGGAAAAACAGAGTTTAGGTGGAGGGTGGAGAAGGAAAAGCTGTGAGATACCTCTGACAGAGTAGATTTTCAGGGTAAAAGGCAGATGGAGTGTGAAGCAGGATAAATGGATGGGGATGCAGACGACCATCATCCTGTTGGGAAACTCACTGTAATGGAAAACACTGAGGAAAATCATAAGAGCAGTGAGATGAAGGCAGTGAAAGGCCTTTACCCCACAGAAATAGCCTTTTTTTTTCCCCTAGAGACAGCATTAAAAACTCACTAGCCAGAGGTATCAGGGAACAGGCATAGCTGCCTTCCCAGATTGACTTCATGCCCAGTAAAGAGCAAAAAAAGGTACGTTCCTTTATTTCAGTACAAGTGCCCGCAGGTCCAAACCATGTTCCCTTGCTCAGCACCAGCAAGACCTACCCAGCCTGGCCTGATACAAACAGCCTGAGCAAAGTACATCTGCCCAGCCTTCCAGCAGGTCCTTCTCCCCCCTCAAGCCTGCTCCTGCATAAGGATGGACAGAAAGACCAGTGAACTCAAAGGACAGGGAAAAGGGAGTTTAGGACCAGTATAGCTATCTACAAATGGGAATTCTGACCTTCAAGTGGCAAGTGATTGACAGATAAAGATTTAACCAGCACTAGCTGTGCTGTTAATACCTTCTGCTCTCATCTGAGACACTGAAATAGTGTAAATTTTTAACAAGAAAACTGCCCTTCAACTTCTGATTTAAACCTCCATTCTCCAAACCCATGGAAAGCTTAAAATAATATAGATATTATTTCTCCGTCCCCTTGCTCAAAAATTCTGTGACTGCCTCTGCCTTAGAGGACAGCCAACACTTGCTCAACAGCCATCCAGAGCCAGCTGTGTGTGTATGAGGTCTCTTGAGTTAAGACAGTCTCCACAGGATACTAAAAGCCAATTGCTCAATCCAAAAAAAGGTGAGAACGGGCTCTGCCTGGTTTTCGATCAAATTTT